AAGAAAATGGTAAGTCCAGAGATAATAGCTTGTTGGTGGAGAGATTAGCAGTAACTTCTCAAAAGGAGAAAATAAGATTTAAGAACTGTAATGGCTACAAGCTATTGTCACTAGAAGCAACTTCAGTGCACTCAACGTCTTATCTTCCAGAATCTTCCATCTCCCATCATCCCCTGCTACAGCAGGGTGGCACTCTGACTCCAGCAAAGGAAAAGGGGACCTGAAAACCGGACCTGACAGCACTGTGCTCTCCCGGGGATGTTTCATAGACAATGCTTGATTTTGATTTCAGAACTATGGAGTGGCACATCTCACTTTCATACGTGGTTGTTAAAAATTCATACGGAGTCCTGAGGAATTTTAAAGACATCTGCTAACATTTGGAAGCTAACAGAGGAACCTTAAAGAGAAAGCAGAGCTAATGGAGGAAGAAGAGAGAAGGAAGAACTTTCAGGCCCTGTGCCTACACATCAGATACACGGTATCTTGTCGGGGTCTGTTTTTCTGTAGGATCATCATGGACCAACAGCGTTCATAGCACTCAGAGCCCTGAGCCCTGGACACCACCACCAGGTCCTTCACCTTCTGGTTCTCGCTCTACTCGTGGCTGTTTGACCTGAGCCAAGTCAGTGGCCTCGTACTTGTCTCCGCACCCCTAAAACAAGGGCTGGGTGACAATTCCAGCCAACTCCAAAGTGCTGATCTGTGCTGGGGTTTACGTGACCGCTCTCTGCATGCTAGAGAGGGGACTGAATGACACTCGCCCGCTCCTTCTTCCAGTGTCCACTGCTCCTCTCCTGGGTGTCCCACTGACTGTTCGCTCACCCTGCTTTCTTGTCTCCTGCTTGTCCCCTCAAAGCCACAGGGGACGGGTCTAGGACTCCTGCAGATACCCAAATCTATCGATACTCAAGTCCTTTATGTAGAATGGTGTGGAATCTGCGCATAACCTGCACACTTCTCTCTGTAAACTTTAAGTCATCTCTACGTCGTTTATAATACCAAATGCAATGCAATGTTCTGTAAATAGGTGTTTGTATTATTCAGGGAATAATGATAAGAAGATAATCACAAGTCTCTATATGTTCAGTACAGACACATTTTTTTCCCTCGAATATTTCCAGCCCTTGGTTGGCTGAATCCCCAGATCAGAACTCACTGTATCCAAGGCCCGCTATGAAGTGTTACTACTGGCTATACTTTATTAAGCTGGCTCCAACCCTTCCTCCACTTCCCCCAGTTTTCTATGCACTATTTAAATCTTTCACAAGTTCTCTTTGAGAAAAATACTTATCAGGAAAGGAGAAATCAGAGTTGGAAGGGAAACGCACAGACTGAGAGGCCTGAAAGATCTCAGCCATTTACAATGTGTTAACTTTATTTAGATCCCACTTCAAACAAGCAGACTGCAAAACAACAACAATCACCACCACCACGGCTGTAACCCCGCCCCCCAATTCAACACCTGTGACATTTGTGAGACAGCTGGAAGTTTGAACGCTTAAGACGCAGTGGATCGGGAGAAAGAAAGCGTTGGCAATTATTTTAGCTGTCACGACAGCGTCATAGTTGCGTTTTCCAAACGAGTCCTTATCTTCTGGAGAAGCATACTGAAATATCTGCGGATCAAACGGCTCGCTCGAGGGAGCTGATGGAGCGAGGCTGTAGAGGACACAGTTTGGACCATGAACCGACAGCGATCAGAACGGAGTCATGACTATCTGAGGGTGAATGATAGAAAGTATAAGGGCACGGTAGGTGGGTGGGGGGCACATCCTGCTGAGGTGCATTTCCCGGCTGCTGGCGGGGCTACCTGTTCCGGCCGTGATCGCTGGGGGTAAATACGGAAGTTCATCGACCAGAAAGGCTGGGCGAGGGGCAGGCTGGCAGCGGGCCCGGCTCTGTGCAGTGGCCATCCTGCCCCGAGGCCCATGTGCCCTCTATAAATAACAGGCTACACGAAAGCTTCACTATTTTAATGCACAGTTGCCCGCAGCTGCTGAACATGTTTGTTTACGTAGCTCTGCAGCCTTCTGTAAACATCACTATCTCAAAATTGCCCATGTGTCGGAGCATAAAGGGGCCCCTGTAAAAATACATATGCAGATGAGACCCGGCCAGCTCCTGCGTGCCGGCGTGGCTGGCGTCAGAATTTTCCAGGGTTTGATTCGTTTTCAAAAATAGAATCACATGACGGGAAGGTTCTTGGGAGGTCGCCTCCAGCGTCCCTCTGACTTCAGGCAGGGCCAGGACGAAGCCATCCTTAGGATGTGGTCTGTCCCAGAGGGTGTCAGTCTGTCTTCTACGAGACCCCCAGGACAGGCAAGGCCCGGGTCCTGCCCGGAAGAGGCTCGCATCCTACTCTGAGATGCTGCTGGCGTCGGGACGGGACACGAGGCGTCCACAGAGCGAGCACCACTGCCGGTCCTGCACCCCACCCTCCAGGGGTGCTAGAGGTTGAGGGGCAGGAACCTCTGGAGGGAGGCACTGAGGCCCTCCCAGCTCCTCCAGGAATGTGGTTCCTGGAACACCCCTCTTCCGCTTTCCAGAAATCCGCGAACTGTTGCTTTTTAAAAAATTTTAATTTTTTTTTTTTAAAGAAAATCAATAGTGGTTGCCTTTTTTTCAGGGATAGGGGTTGGAGCTTTGATTCTTTTTGCTGGCAGCTGACCAGTTTTCTCTAAGAAAGCTGAGGAAAGGTCAGCGAATGCTAGGAGGCAAGGATCTCTGTTCATTACCAAGAAAACGGCCGGTCTCGCTTTGCATAGCCTCTGGGGGCGGCACCAGGTGATTTGCCCAGGCCCACTTCAGGTATATCCGTGTGTTTGGAGACAGGGCCTCGGCTTGAGGGAACACAGGGAGCTCGGGGTGCGAGATTCAAAGCTGAGATCCTACCAGAGGCTGCATCTCCAGGGTCTTCCGGAGCTCAGACACCGGGTGAAATCTGCACACTACCCTCACTGCGTCCTATGGGGGTGTTACAGGGAGGGGGTGATTTAAGAACCACGCGGCGAGTCGTCTGCAACACTGAGGCTGCGTCTTCATGGACACCACCAGGGGGCGCCAGAGTCCCTGTGCTCAGGCCGGGCTAGAGAAGTTTCTGGGCTGCGGGGAAAGAAGGGACAGGCTCCCTGTTGGAAGCGAGTTTACCTCTGCCTCCTTCCTCTCCCCTCCACAAGTGTACTGCAGGTCTAGGCCCTGGTCACCCTGTTACTTACACCGGCGAGGGTGATGTAGTATTTTACAATAGTTGCAGATTTAAATGTGGAAGGAAACCTTTTAAAAGTGTGCTCAGTCAGAGATTTAGCTCAGTGGCGCCAGAACCTGCCGAGGCAAGTGCGAGGTCCTGAGTTCGATCCCCGATTCCGGGGGCGGGGGTCATGAATTAGAGGTAATCATGGTCTTATTGTACAGCACAGGCCGGAGTCACGGCTCTTGTCAAGTTTCTCTTACACAGTTGCAGACCCCACGCACACACCACAGTGCTGGGTCCTTGGTGGATGTGAAATAAGCACGGTGTCCCTCAGTACCCACAGGGGATGGAGCCCTGAACCTGCGACGTACCCAAGGCCGAGACGCTCAAGTCCCTTGTATAAAACGGCCCAGTGCACGCATAAGATCAACACATCCGCTCCGTAATTTAATAGGTTCCTGCCAATGCCAGATGTGATGCAAATATTATGTAAATAGCTGTTGTTCTGTATGGTTTAAGAGATAATGATAAGAATAAAAGCCAGCAGATGTTCAACACAGGCATGATCAAGAAAAGTTTTGGATCTGGGGTTGGTTGAACCTCCGATGTAATCCATGGGTCCCCTTCTGGGGACCCCGAGGGCGCCCGGCATGTTGTGATTATTTAAGGCCAGGTGAGGTCCAAACTGCTTTTGTTCTGTGGAAAGGAAAGCGCTACTGTCTCCAAGCTCTTCCTTGCAATCCTTTCCTCTCATTTTTCAGAGTTTGCTGCATTTAAAAAACTTACTACAAAAATGTACAGGGCTGCAGGGGACAGAAATGCGAGACCAAGGACAGTGGGGCTGGGTTACTCGGTACAGGTTGATGAAGAGGCCTGGTCTGCATGGATTTTCAGAAGCCATGAGTTACCCCAGAGCCTCAAGTTGAAGTCTTAAAAAGTAGGACAGATTGCAGGTGAGAGAGGTGACTAGTGATAATTCAGAAGAACAGTAATTCAGAAGGACTGAATTTGAGTTCTGCTCTACACTCTGGAGGGCATTATTGTTAGCTTGAGTCAAGCTTATGGCTCTGTTTTGTGGGGTCTTACGGATAAATATGGGCAGAACTATCTTTGCTGTTGGAATATGGAACAAGTGTAAAGTTGAGACTGAATGAAGACTTTGCTAAAAACAGACTGTTTTCTCCATGCTGGAAACGGATCATGTTCTTCAAACACACACATTAGCCACAGAGGGGTCAACAAATGGATCTGTAACTTTTCTTTTCTGTTTTTTTTTTTTTTTTTTCCTGGATCTGCAGGATAATATCTGCTGGGATTTCGCAAATAGAGTAGACAGAGTCTGGGGTAGCTGGTATAAAGAAAAACCAATGCTCTTGTCCTATGAATGTGTCTCAAAGAAAGGCCAACATTGCATTTGTATTAAAAGTAGTTGTTAGGTTTTTTTTGAAAGGCGTAACTTCTCTATCTTGGTTTGGTAATGGATGACCACACGTATTTAAATCAGTAGTGTTCTAAAGATATTTAACAAGTGCTTTAAGGACAGATCAAATTTTAACTCAACCAAATATTTTGAAATTTAAAATATACAAAGTGCCCTCTTTTATTGTTCGTTAATTCACTTTCTAAAAGGATCTTAAAAGCTAAATGGTTAGAGTTCTTGGTGAACATACTTCAGATTCTAAGACGCATAGACATACCATCTCATGAGCAGGGACTGTGTCCATATTCTGTACCTCATAGTAAGAGAATCAGACGGTTTAAAATGAGCATCTAACCCACAGGTAACCCGGGATGGACCCTGCCTTACCTGTGGCTTCCACCATTCCTTCTAGGATGACCACAATTTCCAGTTCCTCTTTAGGCAGCTGGGCTTTGGAGATCTCCCAGAAAGGACTCTGTTGGTTAATTTCATGGCTAATGATCAGTGGTGACACCAGAAACAGACGGTCATCCCCAGTGTAGTAGCCTACGTTGATGTCCGTCTGGTTCAGGGGGATAAACTCCCCTTCTGAAGTCTGTTTGGATTTGATCAGCTTGGCTCTGATGGAGGCCTCCACAATGTGGGAATTCCGAAGGTCCCCAACCCGGAACATCAGGCACAGTTTCCCGTCCCGCATAGAGATCACTGCGTGGGTGGAAAACACCAGGGTCTCTGCCCTCTTCTTGGGTTGTGATATTTTTACAAACATGCATCCCACCATGAATGCGTTGACAATGGATCCCAGCACAGACTGGATTAAGAGGAGAATAATTCCCTCCGGGCACTTATCTGTGATGACCCGGTAGCCATAACCAATGGTGGTTTCCGTCTCGATGGAGAATAAAAAAGCAGAGACGAACCCGTTGAGGTTGGTGACACAGGGAGTCCATGAGGAGTCCTCTATGTGGTCCATGTCTCCTCGGATATATGCGATCAGCCACCAGATCATTCCAAAAAAGAGCCACGTCACCGTGTAGACCATGACGAAGATGAGCAGGTTGAACCTCCACTTGAGGTCCACCAGGGTGGTGAAGATGTCGGTCAGGTAGCGGTAGGTCTCCCGCACGTTGCCATGGTGCACGTTGCACTTCCCATCTTTTCTCACGTACCTCTGGATCTTCCTCTTGGTCCGGTCCCGGCTGATGTGTCTCGGCAGGTCATCCCTGGCCTGCTTAGGCAGCTTTGGCTGGTGAATGGCCACGGGGCTCTCCACATCCTGATCCATGGAGTCGCCCTCCAGGACATTAGCTGGTGGTTTGGAGAAAAGAAAAGAGAAACAGGGTGAAATGCTGGCTCTCTGGGGACAGCCGAGCTGCACACTTTGTCAACGACAGTGCGAATGACCCAATGCCCCGTGGGTAGTTGTGGACAGGGTGAACAAGGGCATGGTTCACGGGCACCGTGCGGATGGCACCCTGGGTGATCTGGCTTGGGTAAGTCCTTCTCCATCCAGCCCAGTGGGGTGGATCCCCCCACCGTGAAAGCATCTCCCTGCCAGCCGGCAGCTGCCCCTGAGTCCACTCTGCTGGCGGATGTTTGTCACTCTCTGAGGTGCTGTGGCTCAGGGAAGGCAGTCAGCTTTCCAAAGAAGGCCTCCTGGGGTTCCAGCGGGCGTGGCTGTCCCACTCAGCAAGGGTGGGCTCTTGGGCCTGCTGCTGTGAACCGAACTGTGTCCTGCAACTCCAGGGTCAAAGCCTCAGCCTCCGGTGTGGCTCTGGAGATGGAGACCACAGGGTGACAGCTGCTGGTAGAAAGAGTGGGCCCTGATCTAAAGGACGTCTTGTCCTAAAGAGAGGAAGAAGAGACACAAGGGGTGGGCGTGTGCAAAAGGGGGTTCATGGGAGACAGGGTGAGAAGGCATCCGGTGGGAGTCAAGGAGAAAGACCAGACACCCGTCCTGTGGGACTGCAGCCCCCAGAGCAGAACCAAAACATGAACGGCTGTTGTTTAAGCCGCCCAGTGCGTGGAAATCATTTACCAAATGCTCATGAACCCACCTCACACGGTTGTTAATGAGGTTAAACGAAAGCCATATACACGACTCATGCTTATATGCGGCACGCAATGAATACCTTTGGTAATAAATTATGCCCTTACTATTTTTCATCTTTAGGGCAAGAATTTTCAGCAAGCTTTTTACGTTATTGATCAGGACTTAAAACATTTTCTAGTTTTTGTTGGGAAATATGCATCCGTCGTACTTTAAGTTAGGTTGATTCAGTGCCAAGGCTAAAACAAAAGCGGGTAAAGAAATGAAGGACCGTTCCTTCTCTTTCTGCGTGTTCACACATTTAATTTGGTCTCTGCTGCAACATTTAACACCTGTAATTTGGTGCATGGTTATTTTCTTTCTGATGGCCTTCGAGATAGATGCTTTGCCATGATCATTAGTGAACTGTGCATTAGGGAAGCTCTCTTAGAGTCTGCCTGCTGGGGGAGTCTTGGGACGGATTCTGCTATGAAGTGGGTATGAGCCACTGGATGAAATTACTTGTTGAACCAGCAATTTCAGGGCTTCTAGAAGCAATGCCTTCCTCCAGGCACTCACGCTGGGTCCTTCGCCTGTGCTGTTTACTTTTGCAGTGACTGTGGTGGGAAGGCACCCTGTACACGGCTAAGAGAACAGCCAGGGGTGGGACTAGAGTGGTACCAGGTTTGCTCATGGGCCAGCCTTCCTCACACCTGCCGAGTCAGTGTGCAAATCAATCGCACAGCTCTGCTTGATGTTTCAGCCCAAGGAACAGAAGGCATCAGGGCTGCAGGATCTGCTGTGTGGCTTGGTAGCTTTGACTTTCAGATCTCGGCCTTCAATAGCCTTCATTCGTACATGAAAAAATCTGTGTATTTCCTCCTTAGGACAGATGTCCAGGCAGGGGTGGAAGAGAGCAGGGATGGGCTGGGGGCGGGTGGGGTGTGTGGACGGAGGGCCCCATCCCTGCCCACTGCCTGTTCTGTGCAGCTGGGGAGGCCTTGACTGCAGAGCCCTGAGAGGGGCCCAATGCACCTAGCCTTGGGCACTGGTCTGAGAGCACAAAGCCACCTGAGCTCTTGTCTCTCTGATTCCTTAAGCGGAAGAAGGATGTTTGTCAGATTAACTGCTTCTCAGCAGCCTTCACAGATAGTTCCTATTTTTAAGATGTTAGGGGAGAAATCTTGTCTCTGTCCCCTCTGCCCCCAATGGGAAGCTGTTTTCCTCCCATCTTTCTGGCTCAGCCGCAAACCTGAAGATGCAGGCACCTGTGTGGACTGGAGGGACCTGCAGAGAAGGCTAAGGAATGAGTGGTGACGGTACTCCGGGCACCTGGGGCGGCTGCCTGCATCCCTGGAGAGTGTGACCACTGTCCCATCCTCCCTGCATTCAGGGTGGCCCTTCGGGACTGGGACTCTCCCACTGGATGGGAATGGCCCTCCTCTGTATCCCTCTGTCCTCCGCTGTGGGGGAGATGCTGGAACCAAGAGCAGGAGAACCTGGGTACTGAGCCAGACCGAGAGACCTGTGTCTGTCTACAAGCCATGGCTGGGTGAGGTGGGGACAAGCACAGGGCTGTAAGAAGCCGAGCAGGAGGAGAAAGCGGCAGAGAAGGGGCTGATGCTGGAGACGGGCAGAGTCAGCTGGGAGAAGAGGGCCGGGGAGTGAGGCAGGCTGGCTGTGTGGCACATGATCGGTCGGAGCAGTGCGGGGCCTCCGGGCTGTGTCCAGAGCGTCGGTGGCACCGCTGGACAAGGAGACAGGGCCCCTGCAGGTCCCGGCTGTGAGCCGAACCTCCGCTGCCCACCCGAACACAAGCAGAAGCGTGCGGGGAGGACGGAAGAGGACCGTAGGATGGCTTTCAGCAGTTCCTCCTTTCTTGGAGCCCAGGTGTGGACTGCAGCAGGGATCGGAGTTGCCTTTCCCAGAGCGCGCTGAGCTGTGCCTGGGCAGACTGTGGCTGGAACGAGGAAGCAGCCACCTCGCCCGGACGGCCCGCACTGCCCGCCCCCGGCAGACCTGGCCTGACCCTCGGCTGCCATGGGCATCGGCCACACGGCCACTGCCAGCCACTGCACTGCGCCTTCAGCATCCTGCGTGGAGCTCGACGGCAGAGAAGGCAGAGGAGAGGGTACCCCTGGGAGCTGGGAAGCGGCGGCGGGCAGAGGGGCAAAGGAGGGGGAACCGGAGCCCAGAGTCTGGGTGACTGTGTGACTTGACAGCCCCTTCTCTGGGGTTTGGCCCAGCATCAGCACAGGCCTGTGAAGGATGAGGTTTTGAATTTCTTCCCTTCTCTCCCTCGGGCTTTTTTCTTTCTTTTTGATCTCTGTCTCTCTCTGTTAGGAAGCTGATGAGTTTAGACAGAAGCAGCAAAGGGATGAGATCCTCCTTGCGGGGTTGTAATCTAACCCGAAAAAAGTAACAATGCCAGAGCCCTGGGCTGGAAGGAGGCTGGTTCCAGGACCAGCGGAGCACAGCTGCCACCGGGCGCCTCAGAACCCCGAGTGTGTCGGGGTTTCCTCATGGAAAAGGCCCACTCTTGTACGGCTTCCACAGGAGAGACATGCAGAACCCAAGGAAGGTTTAGATACCACTCTCAGACTTTTTAGTGTCAAGTGGAAGATCTGAGAGAGATCCACACACAGTCCAGACTCGGAAGGGAGAGGACCCGGGTGTGAGCAGGGCAATTCTACACTATTCTGTTAAACACCCTTATTCTTCCAAATTTTCTAGGGTGATTTATGTAATGTCTGTAATCAGAAAAAGCAAACACTGGGATGTCTGATTTAAAAATGTTGTCCCACAGAAACCTAACTAAGGTCCAAGTTCGGAAGGCATCTCATCCTGTAGGCGTTTCTGCAGTTCAGAAACAGGCCCTTGCTTGACCTAGGTCCAGGCAGTGAAGAAACTCGGCAGGACCCTCATCTAGAGTGTTGGCAAGGAGAGGTGGAGATGCAGCATTCAGGAGAGGGGCTGCCCAGCAGGGCCTGCAGAACACAGCCAGCTGCTGTCTGGGTGACACGGAGTCAGCCTGGGGTATTCAGGGGCCGTCACAGGGTGCTGCAAGGAGGGGACAGACGAGACCTTCCTGTTGTGCTGAGTTCAGTCCCAGTGGTCCTGACAGAGGCCTTAGGCGCAAAGCATGGCTTCCCCCTCATCAAAGGTGATCCATGCATGTAAAGAAATATTTTTCACAGGCAGGACACGGTATTTTCCCATCATATATCTGACTAATATTCAATATACATAAAGAACTCCTGCACAAATGCACAAAACACAACCTATGCAGAGACGGGCTTGGGGGGGGTTACCGGGGGAGCCAAGGGGACACTGTGCAGGGTCCTCATTCCCCACGTGCCGTGGACAACTGGTGACCCACTTGGAAGACAGGCGACGTGGCGAGCCCCTCCTTTATCCCTTATGTCACAGCGAATGCCAAGCGGGAGTTTGCAAAAAATAAAACCACAGAAGTAGAAGATGTATTTTTAAAAATAATCCTGAGTTGAGAAAGCCCTTTTTAAAGACATGACAAGAATCCAGAAACTATTTAAAAAGACTGATATTTTTTTGACAATTTATAAAATTTAAGTGTGTGTAAAAAGAAAGGAAGAAGTTAAACCAGAAGAAACATATTGGTGAAATGTAGCATGTATGTGCTCCATTTACAAAAGTAATCAGTAGCCTAGGAGAAGATGATCAGAGAAAATGAGTAAGGAGTTTCTGAGGGAAGAAACACACATAGCTTAAAAAACATGAAAAGACAAGTAAAAGCATTGCCAATAAAATCATGTTTTATCCTAAGATTAGCAAAATTAAAGACCAACAGCAACTGCAGCATGGGGGAGGTATGGGGTTTTGAATGCGTATGTTTCACCGTACATTAAATAATGGTGCTTCAGGAAGCCAGGGGAATGGCAGGTTTGTAGCTTAGCAAAAAGTATATGCACCTTGGGTTGGTAATTCAAGGTCTAGACAACTACCGTAAGGAATAATTTCACAAATGTTCATACTTTGTATGTAGGGGATGTGCTACAGCTGCTTACAGAGAACAGTGAAGACTTCACTGCAGCAACCATGTGCAGAGTTCCGATTACATGTGCCATTGTAGATGTAATCCACAGAGTATGTTGGGGTCACTGAAAGGGGTTTTCCAATCATTTGAGCTCTTCCACTCTCTGCAATGACCGCCTTGCAAGAAGGCTCACATTTAAGGTCGAGACTCCTGCATGATCACTGCTCCTTGTACTGCTGTTGGCTTCTTTTTCCGTCTCCCACATGG